AAAGAAATCTATTTCTCATATGTTTGTAAATGCAGCAACTTTTTATATTTTATTGAACACCCTTTTCTGTTTGTTGGCCGTCACGAGAACTGCTCAGAGTTCGATTTCTGATAAAATATAACAATTGTTAGAATGGGGCCTCATGGTAAAAGAAATAAAGGAAATAATAAATAGTTTTAGTCTGCATATTATAAAATCATAAACTCATGAAAATGTATTATTTTGCGAATTTAAATTTCAATAAGAAGGTTTAGGTCAGGAATTTGTAGAGAAGTTAATTTTTATCCCTGAAGATGTAGACTTTTTATAGGTTGATAAGAATTATTTCTATTATTATTATTCTAAAAGTCAGTTAAAGTATATGGGGATTGAAAAGATGTGCAGATTATTGATACATAAAGATGAAACCAAAACTAAATTTCATTTATCTATAACCGAATTTACAGTAGACAAAATATTTACTTCCTCGCCATGTGTTCTATTACCAATCAGTATCCCAACATCGGCGTTCAAGTCTTCTAGCAATAAAGCCATTAAATTGTAAAAAACCTATTAGGGCAAAAACGCCAATCGACGTCGGATAAGAAATCATCGTATCCAATAAACAATTTTCAGTTCCGAAGACACGCACAATCCAAGATTTTATTATGTGTTATTTGCTATAGATTTAATCCTTTGAAATCGATCGAAGTTTATAGCTCCATTAAAGGAATAGGTCGTAAAACTCGAAAAAATATCTTGAAACGATTGATAAGTGAAATAACATATGCATTTTTCATGGGTAGTGGTAATAGGTTGAATATTATAATATAATAATCGTTTATTGCATTCGGCGTATCAATAAATTTCCGCTTTGTACTTAATATTTTAATTAAATTTATCTATAAAATGCATGGAATACAAACATGGTACGACCGACTATAATGTTGTTCATATGTTGCAGTAGTAATGGATACAAATTTAGGAAACCAAGTGATTTCTAGACTACTTATTAATATTTGTTATTGGATCTGACGCTTCTTTGTTATTATTACAAGTACTTCATAAGTACTTGGAATATTTTTTTTAATAATTTTATTTGAACAGCGATCAGAACGTATGAGTTCTATGAGCTGTTGTGATCAATATCTGTTTTATTACAGATGGCAACCCAAACAGTTGTCACATCTCTGTATGATAATTTTTTTTATTACAATCTCTGTAATAGGGCAAGTATATAGTGCAACAATGCCGGGTGAGGGCTATTTTCACTTGGAAACATATTGCTATTTACTTGGAATATACCATAACTTTGGTGGAATAACTCCCATATTTTGATGCAGCATAAATTAGTAATGGATAGAAGTTTAAGAAACCAGGTGGTTCCCGGATCTAATTACCTATATTTATTATTAAATCAGTACCTTCTAATTATACTTGTACATCATCCCTGAATTGACTCAAAAATCCAATATTTCCCTAATCCCACAAATTCGATCTAATCACATCACCATTTCCTAGTTCTTGGTCAATTACTCTCGATATCAAAACCAAAAGTTGTTCTTCCCGATGTCAGATGGCTCCTAGATGTGTTACATGTTTCATAATATCCGCAACGGGCAGAAAGTATTATTTTGCTGTTAATCAAGCGACGATAAAGCTAGAAGTTGCAATGCGTCAAACGCATAAAATAGCATTTGACGGCGAGTGCGGCGCGGCCGGAGATCAAAGAGGCCGCCGCGTCGAGCCGCGACTTTTGTCCGTGGACGGCGGCGAAAAAAATTGAAGCTGTGTGTGTGCGTCCGAGTATTGAATATTCGTCACGGATTGCACAGGAACACCTGATGACAGCAGGTCGAAACCTTGGGATCGCGGAATTCCACTTACAATTGGGATGATAATAATAAATGGTGGTGGTCTGCATGAAGGCAGGTCCATGGACAATTGGGATAAAAAATAATAATAATAATTCACTTGACCAGACATATTTGTTTTCTACGGAAATTCGCCTTTGAATAATTACAAACTAAATGTAATCTTACTTACACTTAGAACACCAGAAGAAGTCTAGTAGAAGAAACAACGTTCTGAGCTCTAGCTAGAAAAAATGATTTTTTATGATATGAAACTTAAATATTGAAAATTGCAAAAATAATCGGTGGTACTTAGAAAAATAACATTATAATTATTCCATATATTCACTTAATTTCTGGATTAAATAATAATAATTCACTCGACCAGAAATTTTTGCTTTCTACGGAAATTCACCTTTGAATAATTACAAACTAAATGTAATCTTACTTACACTTAGAACACCAGAAAAAGTCTAGTAGAAGAAACAACTTTCTGCAGCTCTAGCCAGAAAAAATATTCTTTATGATATGAAACATTGAAAATTGCAAAAATAATCGGTGGTACTTAGAAAAATAACATTATAATTATTCCATATATTCACTTAATTTCTGGATGTTTACTATTATTGTTCCACAAGAATAACAAAGAAGCTTTGAAGCATTTTCCATTCGGATAAACAACTTGAATAACAGATTTGATATAACTTTATTTATACCAAATTTTAGCTCATAACAATGAACATTTGAAATTTTATAAGAGTTTTCTTTGCGATGATCAATATGAGACAAAGCGTTCAATTTAAGACTCTTATTTCTGCCTCAAAAGCTAACTTACTATCCTCAAAAATCCTTGGACGGAATCGGTTGTCTAATAAATGCACCTGCTGATAAATGCAGTATAGATCGGTGAAATTATGCTTAACACTGTTGAAAAAATAATTTGCATATATTTCTTTTTCACTAGTTGGACTAGAACAATAAATGTCCTCTTAAAAGTGTTGCAATCCTCTGTTTGCAAACATCTTAAGCTCGTAAATTCGCCTTTATCATTTATTGTATGCGTAGATATATATATATATATATATATATATATATATATATATATATACATTTTTGGTAAGAATGCGAAAGCAAATGCCTTCAGGACACATATATGCGGAATTGCAACTTTTAAGTGTTGATGGGCAAAAAGTATGACACTTGTAATAAAAACGAAAATGTAACACAAATTGATTAGTGACACGCATTCCAAAATTTCCATCGTCATAAGAATTATTTAGAGCCCTCCATGGTGTAATGGTTAGGAACGTGGGCTAGTCATAGAAAACGCTATTCTGATAAATAAATACATAAAAATGCCATCACTGCTCGTCTAGGAATATTGACACTTCTCCGCAAGGGTAAAAGAAACAATAAACTTTATAATTCAATAAATTCTTTTTTCAATTTGATTCCAACTCTTAGAAGTGCAATAGCGTTAAACTTTTTGACAACAAAATCGTAGTTCGTACAAGTTGATTGACATTTTCTATTCTCGAAGCCACTTTGGCTTCTTCCTGTTTCTGATTTCCTGACACGATTCTCGATAAATATAATAATTCTTCATATACACACAAGTTCACATTTTTTTCATTTCTTTTCATTGTTCATTTCTGAACGAATAGTGCGATCGCGTGAGCAAATCAATCGTTAGTAGGTACTATATAAGAGTTTGACGCATTGTTATTTTTTTTACCGTTCCGATCGAAGATGACGCAAAAAGACGGCGGCAGCGGCGGATATGGTTCTAATCTAGCGCATGTGAACGGAATTACCTGCGATGGAACGATCATAGATGGATTTGATTTTATTGATTGCGGAATAAAACAACACGACATTATTAACAAATTATTAATAAAAAAAACTAAAACCGAATTATTCCAAACTTTATTGATTTTGTACAATTCAACCACTTTTCGTATGCCTATAATACTTCAGGGTGTTCTTTGATACCATTAACTCAATCTTCATAACTAGTTACATTAAAATTGTAACAATTATGAAAAAACAGCACGCCTGGCTTTTATCTAATCAGAATCTTGTAAACAGTTTTCATTTATTAATTACCAAGTCGGATTTGCTGGTGAAAACAGACTCCTCCTTCGGGAAGTTAATAACATGCCCTCAAGAAATGTATCGCTCTATTATGACTAATAACATTTTTTATTCCATATTTAACGAGCTAATATCATTCAACTCTAATTTCGCGGTTTTGGATACAATCATCATTTTGTTCCCATTCTTTATATTAATCATGACCACAAAATCACGATATTATTATTATATTAGTTTTTTTCTGATTCGGTATATTAGTAGTTTAAAAAAAACTTCGAACTTTTTATCCAATAATCATCACGCTGTATATTGAAAATTACACAGAATTCTTTCATATCAAAGGTACTTAATACGAAATAAATTACTTGAAATATAATACTACATGAGCGCTTATATGCCAATGTATATCGGGGCATAATCGAAAAGGTGATTAGAAAGTTGTAATATATACTAGGCTAGGAGTTCGAATTTATGAACATCCCATTTTATAAAAAATAAATATACACAAAGTTAGGAAAATTATTTTAAAGTTAAATGCATTTTGTTTCTCCAAAAAGAAGTCTTCCCGTGTACTACAAAAGTAATTAATGCATAATTGATAAAATCAATCCAAACTAGTCTGAATCGATACAAAAGAAATTGACATCTAGACCTATGACTATTTACCTAATAAGATACTCCTAATGATAATTGCTACTTACTATGATATTTCTGTCATTAATTTGTCGATTTATTCGAACTGCTGCAATTGTTTTTATACGAGTTAGATCGAACACTTAACATTTAGTATGCATTAATCATATTAGCAATAACAGTTCAATCAAAGAAACATAGATAATTAAATATGGCATTTGGTTTGGAGCAATTATTTCGAAATATTATACATAAGTAACTGTATTGATTGATTCGGTACTTAAATACTAAATATTGGGTGAAGTTGCGGTTGTAGTTGACTTGTAAGCATTAGAGGTGGTCAGTAAAGGGGCACAATTATATTTTTATTTAAATAAAATTTTAGTCATAAATTTGTGTTTGTTTCAAATAAATTTTAAATCAATTGATTCTTTCTTTTAGGTAAAGAACCAGGCATGGCCCCGTTCGGCCGTCACGATTCCTCCGACATGACAGAAGAACGCATTGCTCACATTCTGTCTGAAGCAAGTCATTTAATGAAAGGTGGTCCAGGATTACCCCAGCCCGGAGGCGCTTCTCCACAAGATGATGAAGATAGAGCTAGTGCTGAAGATGCACCACCATCACCTTACGGATCCAGAGATTCTGGATCCCAGCATGGTCGTAGAATGAGAAAATACGAAAATGATGATATCTCTCAAGACAAAGTTGCCCGAATTTACCAAGAAGAATTGGCTAAATTAATGGGTAGAAGAGTAGATGTCGCAAGGGACGCCGGAGCTGCTGGTTTCCCAGGGTAATTATCTATTCCTTTTTATTTGATTCCATAATAATTAGATTTTCATAATTCGTTAGGATTTTACTATAATCCAATGTCAATTTGACTTGTTTGAAAAATATAAATCAATAATAAATAACGAATAGTTTATCTAATGATTAAGGAAAATAAATCTTATCTCCATGTAACAGTCGAGAACAGCTACTAGAACTAACGTTTAGTTTGTTTCCCAACTTTTTCAGTGGATCAAACCCAAGTGAACAACGAATGCCTGATGAAAACGTGCGTCTTGCCATTGAAGCTTACCACCGTGAACTGTTGAAGATGCAACAGCAACAACAAAGCGGAGCTGCTGGTCAACTTGCCGGACTTTCCGGTATTCCCGGATTACCAGGCTTGCCGGGACTACCTGGATTGCCGAACTTACTTGCCTTGCAACACATGCAACAACTAAATGGAGCTTCTGCACAAGACTTGTCCTTACCTAAAGAAGCTATGATGTCAGCAAAGATGATGAATGGCGATCCCGAAGGTAAAGATGAAAACGAACAAGCCAGACATTGTGGAAGTGCATTTAGCCTTGTGAGACCAAAACAAGAATCTAATACCACTACTACCAATTCGTCAGCGTCTAGCCCATTAGGAAATGCTATCTTGCCACCAGCCATGACTCCTACCGAAGAATACAGCACTGGTGCTGTGGCAAGTCCTTTGCAGCGGATGGCCTCTATCACGAACTCTTTGATCTCGCAACCGCCTAACCCAACACATCACAGTCCATCTCAAAGACCACTTAAGGCAGTTTTGCCACCAATAACTCAACAACAATTCGATTTATTCAATAATCTAAATACCGAAGAAATTGTTCGGAGAGTCAAGGAATCCCTGAGCCAATATTCGATTTCTCAACGTCTTTTTGGAGAATCTGTATTAGGTCTCTCCCAAGGATCTGTTAGCGATTTATTAGCCAGACCCAAACCGTGGCATATGTTGACACAAAAAGGTCGGGAACCGTTCATTAGAATGAAGATGTTTTTGGAAGACGAGAATGCCGTGCATAAACTGGTGGCCAGTCAATACAAGATTGCTCCTGAAAAATTAATGAGAACTGGAAGCTACAGCGGTAGTCCACGTGAGTATGATTATCTTCTTAATTCATTTTATGAAATAATTCGACAATCTTTCATATGACAAATTTTTACTATATTATTATTGAAAAGCTAAATATTAAAAATACTAATTTTATATTTTATATTTCAGAATGTCCAGCAAATTTAAGCAAACAAATGACCAATGCTCCTAAAATGATGACTGATGCCTCAAGCATTTTATCAAAACTCAAACAAGAGCACAACAGTCTCTTGCCCGCTTCCCTTCAATTAGGCGCTATGAATCCACATGGCGCTCTTCCTCCTGGTATGACCGCTGCCATGTTGAATTCTCAACAACAACAACAAATGCAGCAGCAACAACAACAGCAACAGCAACAACAGCCCATGTTGTTAACACCACCAGGAATGCCTCCACACCACGCTATTACTTTACACAACCAAAGAGATCAAATCAAACAAGAAATGGCTATGGGTAAACCGAGCATGGGAGTACATCATTCACCAATGCAACATTCGCCAATGTCACAGCAGGCACAACAGCAACAAGGTGGTGTTATGAGAAGTTTGCATCAGCACATATCACCAAGTGTTTATGAAATGGCGGCTTTGACTCAGGATTTAGATACACAAACCATTACTACTAAAATCAAAGAAGCTTTATTGGCAAACAACATTGGACAAAAGGTAAATTAATATTTGATTTTATATAAAATCAGAATTATAATCAGCTATTGCATTATATAATGTTAAGTTAATAAATGTAATATTTCTATCAATTTATTTCTAACTGGCATATTTCAATTTTAGATATTTGGTGAAGCTGTACTTGGCTTATCTCAGGGTTCAGTAAGTGAACTTTTATCCAAGCCTAAACCATGGCACATGCTGAGCATCAAAGGACGTGAACCATTCATTCGTATGCAGTTATGGCTAAGTGATGCCCATAATGTTGATCGTTTGCAAGCACTCAAAAACGAACGCCGGGAAGCTAATAAACGCCGCCGATCAACTGGGCCTGGTGGTGCACAAGACAACAGCTCAGATACCTCATCCAATGACACTTCCGAGTTCTACCACTCACATTCACCTGGTCCACAGAATGGTCCTCCAAGCACTAAGAAACAGAGAGTGCTGTTTTCCGAAGAGCAGAAAGAAGCACTGCGTTTAGCATTTGCTCTAGATGCTTATCCTAATGTTGCCACTATTGAATTCTTAGCAGTCGAATTGAATCTGTCTACCCGTACTATAACTAATTGGTTCCACAATCATCGTATGCGTTTGAAGCAACAGGTTCCTCATGGGCAGCCTAATGATGCACCTTCTAGAGAACCTGGCAGTCAGCAGGTACCTTTTGACCCAGTTCAATTTAAGTTGCTTCTGAACCAAAGACTGTTAACGTTACAAAAAGAGCGTATCGGTATGGGCGCAGTACCCATACCATACCCTCCTTATTTTGCAACTGGTAATTTAGCTGCTTTGATCGGACGTGGTTTTGATCACTTAGACCAATTAGGAGCTTTAAGTACGGCCGTTAAGGAGCAAATGAGTGGTTTAGATTTAAGCATGGGGTCTTCCATGAAACATAGGGATGAATTTGATTCTGATTGTGCTAGTGAGGATGAATCTGAGGATGGAGCGAGAAGTAACAGATGTGAGGAAGAGAAAGAAGACAGAACGGGAGTGGATAGTGAGCCTAGGAACAGCAGTGCTGCGCGTAGTAACAGGCGCAAACCTGCAGCTCCTCAATGGGTTAATCCCGATTGGCAAGACAAATCCGCAAAACCCACCTCAGCACAAGAAGAGGTCATTATAAATGGAGTGTGCGTAATGAAAACTGAAGACTATAGGGTCGATTGTTCAGAAACTGTAAGAGTTGACCCAACCCCGGTTCCAGAAGATGATGTATCTGAAGCAGAAAGGCCAGAGACTGATGAGGTGGCTGAAATTCCCACTGATACCGAAGAACCGGTACATGAGGAAGATGAGCCCATGCCAGATGCACAGACTGAAACCGAAACTGCAACTGTGGATGAAGACACAGATGTAAAACACAACGCCGAAGAAGAAAGATGGGATTATTAATTTAAATATTTCTAAGTGACCATGTTTATTATTTGCTTGCGAACAATTAGAGTGGTTTGGACATTTTAAGTAATGCAATTGCTCTCTATGCAAGTGCCATAGTTTAACATGCATCGAGTGTGAAGACGATGGTCATATTAAGATGTTACAAACAGTGCAATGAAATAGGCAAATGAAACCCAGTTTTTTAATTGTGATTCGATTACAAAAACTTAGTTATATGCGATTGTGGTTAGTCTTTAATGACGATTTGATCTGTAGTTAGACATAATATTATTTATAATTATATTTTTATTATATAATTTTTAATTGTTTTAAATTTTGTTCAAACAACAACCTTATGGTTCCTTGTTTGTTTTTGTTTTCTTGAACATTTTAAAAGACTGTTAATACTTTTTCTATATTAGTGATTTTAATTAGAGTTTAAGTATTGTAATAACTTGAAGCCAAATATGAAATCAAAGATTTGTGACATGGCTGATAAGAAATTTTCATTTTGTGATAAAATACGATCAGCAGTTTCCAAAAAAAATGTTATTCACTGTTTACCAGTAACAAAACGCGATTGAAGTTTAATACAGAAAATGGCCAAAAATTATTATTCAATTTGTTGAATTACGTACTGTATGTCAAATTCAGTAACATGGACATTAAAAATTAGTTTATTAATAATTTTCTAGTTTATAAGTATTATTATTATCTTTAGGGTAGTTCTATTAAACACCACTATTGTACATATTATTACACGGAAATATAAATGAAAAATATTAAACAAAAAAAAATTAAAGTCGTGTATATTCAATAGCTAAATGAGAAATTGAGATTTTTCTAAGGTTTTCAAAATTGAAACATTTTGCAGAAGTATTTATAAAAATACTAAAACATTAGCAAGCATCTAGTCCGATTTACAACTATGAACTTTTTGTAGCCCTATTTCTTTTTAGAATTGTACATAAACCATCTAAAAGGGCTTACAGTTCAGAATATACAGTGAACAAAGATCTCATACAGATTTTCCATGTGAAAATCTCAAATTTCTATTTTCGTGAAAATTTAGAAAAGGTTCATTGTCTGTAATCACAGATAGCTGTATTGTCAAGCATATCGAAAAAGAATTTCTAAGAAGAAATTTGTAAGAGATGCAATTGAGAATGTTAATTTTCAATTTGTAGAATTTCATGGCATTTATATAATGTTGGAAAAAAAATCATCTAGTGTTGATATAACATTAAACTTAACAAGATTCCAGTGTGAATCGAGTCCATGAACAATTTCCAACATTATATTGAATATAATTAAATTTTAATTATCACTTCAAATGTTAGTTTGAGTTCTAAAGAAAACAAAATTATAACATTGCTGTCAGTCTGTGAGTGCACACTGTCTGTCTTATCGAGACAAAAATTATATTGCATTATTGTACGAGGACTAAGATATGTATAAAAAAACTTTAAACTAAATTGTTAATAAAACTTTTTGTAGGGCCTAAATTATTATTATCACACTTGATTTATAATAAGCCCTGATCAGTGCATATATTATATTTAAAAAGGGCTTCTTAAGGTCATATTGAACGGACCACAATTCTTTAGCGTTTTTTCTTTAAGACAAAACGCGCTTAATATTAATTCATAACAAGCCTACTTCCATTTTTCTAACTAAACAACAAATTTGTAAATTTAAACAAAAAATTATAAATATTATAAATATACATATAAACCGCTCTAAGTATATAAATATTAATAAGTAATGAAACTCATTATTATAATGCAACAAATAATATATACGTAATCAAAAAAAGTAAAATTTACAAGTATGACATACATAGGAATAAATTTAAATGGCAAAAATGTGTTTTGTTGATTTTTTTGAAAAAGATATGTTTTATTGTTATTAGAATTCTTTTTGGCTTGCTCGAAGAACAAATTGTAATGCATTATCAAATAAAAATTGAATATAAAAATAGTAATATACACAAAGATTTGTTAAAACTAGTTTATTTAATCATTGTGCATATTGTGAAATTGAAATTTTCCTGTCCCTTTGTAAAAACTTGTAAAAAAAATATTTTGTTAATGAAATTTATCAAATTGATATTTTGAGTTTTCACAATGGGATAGTGTCGATATTGCATTATATCATTTGTTGCTATAAATTGTATAATTATTTTTGCCACATTCAAAATTTTAAATCCGGACACAGATTTTTAACTAAGTGCACAAAGCAAATGAAATATTTTACGATACTTAAATCATTTTCCTATTATCGAAGAAACAATAGCCAAACTTATGAGAAATCGATAAAAAATCTCATTGAGCGAAATGATATACATACAACCCCGAAATAGCCTCATAGAAATTAAATGATTATTTTACGTTAGAACATAGCAAATATATTATATTATATATCTTATTTTATTATATGTTTTTGATTTTTCGATTCGTATTCGATTTGTTTATTCGAATGAATAAAGAAAAACCCAATAATTATTACAAATATATTGAATTATATATGAAAAAATTGATAGATAAAATGTTAATTTTAAAATAGTATCTGTAAATATTTATTATTATGAAATAATATGATCATATCATTGTCATTATTAAGAATTTATAAAAATTAAAATTTTCTCTGTAATTAAAAATGATGTGTTTTATTTGCGAATTTATTTTTCAGGAATCACAATTAAAATGCTTAATACTACTAATATAATTAATTTTTGGTTGGAAACTCATGGCCCTCAGCATGTGAGGAGTTTGAAAAATTATAAAAAAAAGTTATTTCAATATAATGTTAACGAATTTTTTGAAAATTTATTAAAGGTAAAGTCATAAACATTCATTTTTGATTGTAATCATGAACAGAAAGTAATTATTACAAAATTACACAGTTTACAAAGAACAGAACATTCATACTTGATATTGGAATTAATCTCAAATTTAATTTTAATAGGTTCATAGCGACTTATGACATTGCCTATTACATCCTAGTGCTAGTGCTTAAGTGGACTATATGAGTTATAAAGTATGTAGAAGACAATACAGTAATTACAAATCCAATAAATCTAAATGAAACAAATCTTATAAATCCAATAAATCTTATAGTCGACCCTTCTATAACGCGGTGATTGCCTACCGTGTGTATAATATAGGAACCACGCTATAAGAAACTCTATTGGTAAAAACCACATTTGTACCGAGGACCCAATATAAACAACAAGATAAAATGAATTTATGTAAAAATACGATGAAAAAAATAATTTCATTGAATTGAAGAGTTCATATAAAGATATAATAATAGAAGACAAAGATTGACTAAAAAACTGTTTCTAAAAAAACAATTTCCAAGCATTTTTTTGAAAGAGAGCAACGTGCATAGACAACACTACCGAAACTGATGTGCACTGTGCACCACATCAGTTTCGGTAGTGCATTGTGCACACATATGATATGATTTATAAATACATAATGTAGAAGATGGTGTAGTCGATAATAAAACCTTTTACAATATGTAGTTGCCACAGTCCCTCATAGGATGCGCCAAAGAAAATTGTGGGTTAAACAAAAACCGTTATAGAAGTCATCGTTATAAAAGGGCTGCCGCAAATTCAGTTTTGCGCAGTATAGAAACCATGTTCCCAGATAACCGCGTTGTAAGAGGGTTGACAGTATATATATTATGTAAAATTACAATTCTACATTTCGAATAAAAATTAATATCACTACTGCTAGGTATTAAGATACACAAGACGGAAACAGAATCTAGAATCTGTGGTCGCAAGACCAAAGCTCATACTGCGGAGCCACGGCAGTCTGGACTATCTAGACAAAACCAAAAAATGCATTTTGCACAATGTGTAATACGATAATTGAACTATTTGCAAACCATTAAAATATTGAGAAATTATACCAAACTAAGTCCAATAACAATCTTGATAAAAAAAGTAATAACGTCAATAAATAAAAAGCCTTGCCATAATGGGCTGGTATTCCAATCCAACTTCTTTTGAATCCATGCATTGGACATATAATAATTAAAATTAAAGATAAAAATAATTCACTAATTCAATTTCTTTGTACGAGATATATAAGTATTCTCATTACCGATATCATGTTTAAGCGCGAATCTGAACCTGAAACCTTGTGATTGCAAGGACGAGGCTGTGTTACCTTTGCCATGAACTTCCCTCAATAGTCAGAAGTTTTTCTGTTTGAGCAATAACACGTTGACAAATGCAAAGAATTTCTTCTAAAGCCCTGATACACTGATCAACATTGCTTCAGATTGGATACATAAACAAAGAAGCATTTTAATTATAAACTAGTGGTGTATGGCATCGTGCATTAAGCCAAAATTGCTGGAACTTCCCGTACCGTAATGTTAATGTAAATATTCGAGAAATTTTAAACGTTTTCAAATATATTATTACAAATACTGTAACTTTTATTATTTTTGTTATCTTGTTATATCTGAGCAAATCAAATGTAAATCATAAATTAATTTACCTCCAGAACATTAACAATCATCATTTCATTTCGAATTCAATTTCAAAAAAAAAAAAAAATAGTTGCCTAATTTATACAAAATTGAAAAACGGCTCCCGTATAGTCACAGTCTAAACGTATTTACAAATAATTTTTTGCGACATTTTCACTTATACTGTGCATAGCTTGGCGGCATTTTCACGTTTTTCAATAGTTTTCACAAAATTCTAAGAGTGGCGCTTAGACTGTTCTTAGCCTGGGTAAAGTTTTTAATTTTTAATCCAAAATGACAAAAATATTTTTTGAAAAAGAAAAATTAGAATCATTTTTTTTCCAAAAGCAATTATTTTGTTGAAACAAGCAGAAAGTTCTTTGAATAATTCAAATCGGATGCTTAATTCTCTCAGAAACTGCTATTTTTTTAACCTTTAGTTCTGTATCTCCGAAACCGCTGGGCCTACCTTTGCCAAAAACTAATAACCACTTTTCCCTGTCATTACGAACTGAATGTTTTTCGGATCATACAAATCGAATAATCCGTTCTCTCAAAAACCCGAATTCTATTTTTTGCACTCTTTGCTCC